GCTTCTGTGTCCTTAATCTTAAGAGACCGACGAGCAAAAACTTTCATCAATTCCGGTTCGTCATCTTTCTTGTCACTACGTAATTCCTTGGCTAAAATAGGTTTCTTACGGTACACGACCACTTCTTCGTGTCTATCTGGGGTCTTAGGTTCATTGCTATCTGTACTTTGAATTGAACTTTTGCTACCAAAACTAGAATGAGACTTTTGATCCATAGATATGTTGTCGAAAATCTTTTCTGTACTTCCATCTGTACTCATTGAGTTTGTTCGTTGTTTTTCAGGCCGATCTTGTAGTTCCACACTTGTTGATTTACGTTTGAAGAAAGCTTTTGGTGTAGAAGGACTTTGTGGAACAACATTTTGCACAGACTGCCTTACATTAACTGGAGACCTTTTTTCTTCGGTTTGTATATTTTCAACGCTTTCAACCACTTTATTAACAGCTTCTTTCTTTATAGGTGGAACATTAAGAGGTTTCGTTTCAGTAATTTTGAAACATTCTATTTCTTGTTCCTTTTCGGCTTGTGGACTATCAAGTTTCTTTGGCGTAACATTTGCAGTCAAAACTACATTCGTTGTAGGCTTGGCGTCAACTCGGTTTAATTTAAAATTAAGGAATTCTGGTACTCCAGGCTTTGCTTCAGTTTTCTGTATTTTTTCATCGCTCTTGTTCATTTTAGGAGGTTCATTATTCTTTGCATGAGTTTGTTCCTTATTGACGTGAGTAACTGATATAAAGTTGTCTGTGTCTTGCTTTTCTTTCTGATTTACCTTTCCTCCTTGACTTAAAGAACTTTCCACGGATATAGTTTTCCTTCTATCATCTACAGGTTTTTCTGGGCTACTCTTAACACTATCTAAAGAACTAGATTTGAGTATTGAAGCAATGATAGGCTTTGGGGAGCTAATAATATCGTCAATTTTGGCCTCTATCTGGGAAATATCACTGTCTCTCTTTCGACTGTCCACGGCTATGTGGATACTGTTTGCAAATAGTTTTCTGTCTTCTATTGTCTCGGTTTTAAGACTATCCAGGTAGCTACTGTCAGTACTCGGTAGGCTGTCATAGGCTTCTACGTTGCTGTGATGTAAATTATAGTTCCTCACGGAAATGCCTTTAGAGAAATCGTGCCTGTCGCTGACATTTCTCCTATAATTTGCTTCCCAACTTTCAAGCAAAGGTTCAGATATGCCCACAATGGCTGGCAGACTAGGCATCTGACTGTCTTGAGAACTCATAGACGTAGTTTCTGAAGCATAGCGGAAACTATGCGATTTACCAATACTGCTTCTGGCTTCAGTGAATTCGTCACCCAGAGATCGTAGTTCAGAAGTTGCATAGGACTCTTCAGTTTTGCTCGAGTGGTGGAAAGTTTCACGTTTTCTGTCCATGTTATTTCTGTCACGGAACTCGGCAACGTGCTCTGAAGACCTGTTTAAATGCTTGACATTTTCATGGCTTTGGTGCCGAATCGTTTTAAGCGGATGCGTAGAGTCAGTTACAGTTATGCCTGGATTGAAGTATGGTAAATTTTTAGGCATACTACCGCTGTGAAATACGTAGTCATTGTGATTTTTTATACGCATCGCCCGTATTGGCGGCTCGTCATCTGAGATCTCTAAGGTAGGCGATAAATTCTCTTCTTGAGCCCTACAAGCTTGTTCATTACTAATGAATGCTTTTGACGAGAATGGATCCAATCTCTGCATAGACGTTGGTCGCTTGGGTTTCTCATGTACGTTGACAGAATCTCTTTTGTCGTCAATCGTTTCTTTCGAAGATGTTCGTTGCGTCCTTTCAATCTTTTCGCTGAATTCATCACGTCTGCTAAAACGATTTTTCATTTCTAAATTCAACATTTTGTCTGTTTCTTCGGCGATTTTGAGATCAGTAATGCTATATTCCATTCCGGACAGTTTTGCAGCACTGTATACATCTTTATAAGCGCTGTCTTGAACATAAGCTCCTTTACTATCTAACCGTTTGTGCATTTGATTGGCGAACGCTTTCTGTCCAGCAGATTTATGTGTCCTCTCCGCAGGTATAGGCTTATGGCCTTGTCCTTCCCCATGGTTGTAGCCACTTCTATCCGTATCAACATTTCTGTATTGCGGTGAAGGCTTTTCAGTTTTGGATTTTTTAATTTCTTGTTGTCCTTCAGCATCTGATTGGTCTTTTTTGGATTTTTTCCCACTTTTTCTCAACAACAGTCTGCTAAAAAATGATTCTTCCTTCTTCGTAGATCTAATAACTTCATTTTCTGTCTTCTTTTCTGACTTAGATTTCTTTTCAAGGCAAGATTCTTCGGCGTATTTGTTATTCACTTTGTATTTGGGCATTCTGTCTTCTGAATGATAGGTTTCTTTTACTTGTACTTTGGGAGAGTCTCTCAAAGCTTGATCTTGGGAGCTGGACTTGCTTCTCTTTATGGAAGACCGTGGGGTGTTGTTCTCGGCGATGCTGAGTTTGGTTGGGGATTGACCGACAAGTTGGCTAAGAGCGAGGCCTGGAGGCAAGGAAGAAGACTTGAGTTTGGTATCACTCGGAGTTTCTATCACTCGTTGTAGCTCCCGGTTGAATTGTTGGTGCTGTTCCTTCACGATTACATGTTTTGTAGTCGTTGATGAAGAAAATGATTCTGCAATAAGAAAAATATTGACCATTACTTAAATTAATAATATATTAATAAAGAACTAATTTTCAATAAAGCAATGGATTCAAACTGTACATACCAGTAACAACATTTGAGGTCTTATGTGTGACTTCAGGAGTAGTGCTTCGTATCATTTCTTCGTTTAGCTCAGGCGTTATCGGCAAGGCTGATGCAGTAATCTGAAAGTTGACAATACGTCTTTGATTACTCATACGATGTTACAATAAGTTCCGGAGCATGTATTACAATTATCATTTCCTAAGTTTAAAATTTACGTTAAATGTATTTTAATTGAAAAGTTATATTACAAAATTGCAGACTGCGTATCAAATAAAGATGTATAGATTAACAACATGGGTCTAGATTCCACACAAATGATTTTCAACATGTATTATTCCACAGCGTTAAAATTTACTTGATAAAAGCAACCCTTTAACGCTTTGCACACTGCATCCGAGAAAACATGATTATCGCTTGTACACCTACAGATAAAATGATCTCTGTGACATGTCGAACGGTCATTTCTCGGTTTCGGAACTGGTACGACGGCAAACGTTCTTGGAGAATTCAACACAGTGAACGAGCAAGAGCATAAAAAATTACGCTTTGAAGTCATTGACTTACTTGAAGTGTAAATTTATTTTACCTATAATTCTTTGACTTTGACCTTAACATGGCAATCGATGACAGGTGTTATTTGTCCCCGATTATAGGGAAAAGATAGTTATAACCAAATTATATTGTCTGTGATATAATAATTGTTTTGAAACAGCACTAATGTGCAAATGGTCTGATTGATAGTTACGTATTCGATTGTAGTGGATGCATAGCTATCACTAGTACGGACAAAAGGTCTCCCCCAAGGCGTATTACTGAGCCCAATTTCCAACCAAGTTTATTAAATCCTTATAATCAACACTACGTCAGAACTTTGCCATTTCGTTTTATTCTTGTTATTCTACACAGGGGTAGTTCGCGCCAATTTTTTATCATCATTCCTTTTTCCTTGCAAATTACAGTAGCAATCGTTCGCGTTCGCGGGATGCTTACAGGGTTATTCTTCTTCCGGCGTGGAGCGCCATGCGTGCGCCGCGGGCGCACAGCCATCTTGTGCTTGGCGGCTGAGTGCGACAGTGGCGCCACTCCACTCGGCGGCTCCGACGAATCTGAAATATTGCAAGTGTTCTAATTAATAGAGAAAATAAAAAGTATATTATAATTATTAATACTTAGAAAAAACTCCTTCGATCCGGGTGGATTCGAACCACCGTCTTCCAGCAAACCGTGCTAGATGCTATACCAACTAAGCCACGGAACAGCTTACGAATTTTTCAACGCGCTTATTGCAGATCTTTATTTTGGTTTTTAACGACTTTTATGCATAGCGCTATCTGTGGAAAGCTTATGTACTAAAATCATAACCTAGACGATTTTGAATTCGGTATTTCAATCTTTATGTAATTAGCTTTGTTTTAATATTCTTTTCTTTGTCATAGCTACAATAATAATCGAGAAAATAATATTTGTGATTGGCAGCGTGACCCACGATTTGATCACACCAGTTGCAACCTTCTAACACTACAAGGGGTAGAGCCAGCAGCAACCTGCAGATGGGGCGATAACAATAAGAAACTGCCTCAGTGGCCGAACGGTTACTTACGACTGCCACGCAGAGATCCCAGGTTCGATTCCCAAGCCGGTAGAAATATATGTATGGCCTACATTATTTCTCTCGTGAGTTTGGGTGTAATTTGTGGTTGTCTAGGTGTGTGTCCATGGCACCTGACAGGGTTTCCCTTGTGCACATTGAGTGTATGTGTGCGTATGTTCGTTAAAAAAAATACACTGCTGCAACCAGTGATTACAACTAACAAATTATAGCTAAATTCTCGAACACTCTAGCGTGCACACATGCTACTACGCAAGTACCGATGTTAACTTCACTAAATGGTTATCACTAATTACACTTAGAATAATAACGCATAGAATGATAGTTTCATATCAAACGAACTGTCACAAGTGAGGCAAAAATCAAATTCGTGTAGGCTAGTTTAATAGGTTAATTTTCGGTTTTAATGAATATTTATATAAAAATACAAGTTGAAACGCGTTACTTCCTTGTGGAATGTGATGTTAGTATCTATTTTATGTTTGTCTGGCGCATTTTTACACTCATTTACACACATTTCGTCATTTTTAGCTAAAATTCTTGATCTGTTCGCGGTGCAAGTTGACCTTGAGCACTAAAGGCCCGCCCGCTCGTGTAGGCCCATTGGGCGCGCTTCAATTTGCCTCACTTAGCGTGTGCGGACTAGGTTTAATTACAGATTTCTTACCACGATATGACTTCTTTTTTCCTGATATTTCGGAGCTTGCGTCAACGCGCCATGGGAAGAAGGCCGACTGAGCGCGCCCGTGTTTGGCTGTTTTTGGATCCGTCGTGTGTCCGCCGCCACCACAGTCGACCACGAGCGTGCTCCGTTGGCTCTCTTCCAACGGCGCGTGACGCGAGCTTGCGCTTTTGAATTTACCACACACGGCGAATCCAGAAACAGGCGCCCGAGCACGCCCGTGGAAAAACGGACCACGGGAAGCCGCCTTTACACGCCCCATGTTCACGGGTTGACTCGTGTCAACCCGCCCCGTGGTCACGAGTCAACCCGTGACCATGGACCGTGTAACCGTTCCGAAATATCGTAGAAACAAAAAAAAATGTGATAATCGCCTCGAAAGTCTTGCAAAGAACCGTGTCGTATTAACCTTTTCGTAAGAGCTTTATTTAAATGTTAAACTTTGCTGGAATACCACACACAAGTCCCAGGTTCGATTTCCGGGCCAGATTCATTTCTCTCGTGAGTTTGGGTGTGATTTGTGGTTGTCTATATGTGGCACCCGCGACACAGGGTTTCCTTAGCGCGGGGCTATGCGTGTGTGCATTATTATTACACTTGAAAATGATGAGTAACAAACACAGTTTAGTCAATATGACGTGCTTAAACTTCACCGCTCATCATCGTAAGGCATATTCCCCTGAGAAGAATAAGCAAGAAACTGTAGGGGCAGCTCTTTGTAAATATGCATTAATCATTTCCTATATTTATTTCAAACATTTCAGATCGAGAAACTCCAAGATCTGAACGGGCTACTAACACGGATTTTTATCATCCAAGTATGCAGAAGCTGTATAATAACCGAAAGTTTGTATTTCACTATAGTTTTAAACCTCGTAAATGGCAAATTTTAACCGGAATCTTATTATAAAAGCGTATTGCATTACAGCTTAAATGAATTTGTGACTTTATTTAGACGACTGTCAAAAACAGCTGGTTTTGACTAGCTTTTTTTTTTAACTAGAAATTCGATACATCATTCTTCTATATAATAAAATCCCTCAAACGCCCGCTCACACGATGCGCTCCTCCTACCACAAAATGGCGGCTAGTTTGGTTACGCAAATTAGAAAAGGATTAAGTTTAAATACAAGTTTTTATAAATAAAAATTATTATTCTGCATTGCTAAATAAATACCCTCCGTACTACCAACAAAAACATCTCAAATAAAATGCAGTAATACACCGCAAATCCTGCACTTAAAAAGCACTAATGAAATTTTTGGTGTACTTGGATAAATATGATAATATTCCATTTGAGTGGTTCTAACGTTTACCATGAAATTACTCCTTAAAGTGTAGTTTATAAACATTTATATTCAGGGTAAACTTAAAAAACGCTACTTACGGTATGTTTTCAATAAATAAACACCGAAATCACCAGCCCAAACAATAACGCACACGATTGTCGTGACGTATTTTTGAAGTTCTTTATTTTTTTTAAACCCAGACAGAGGTATTAAAACCTTTATGGTTTGCTATAGTAGTTACCGAAATAGCAATTAGTATTAGTTCTTTTACCTGTTATAACTTCGATATCCGATAAATCGGTATAAAATCATCACCAGCACCTCTAGGTGTGGTATGCGTCTACGGCTGCATGTATCGCGTGAGCAGATAGGATGAGATTAGTGGTCTAAAGTTCGTATACGAACCACAGATCGCAAGTGCACGAGAGTAAGCACGTATAAAAAAATGCTTACTGTAAAAATCAGAGAGGTCACTCCTATTGGAATGGTCATGCGAGTGGAGGTGTCCGCTGCTGCTGTCTTCGTCCATCTCCGAGGAGCCCACACTGAGCAGGGAGCCATCGCTGCACGACGAGTGAGATATCCCCGTGTGGTGCCTCTGCAAATAAACAAACATATAATGTTAAGTAAATACTTTAATATAACATAGTAACTCCAAAATTGTAACAGTATAATGATTCTTGTGAAAGAGTTCGCCCAGGGAAGTACTGTACCAATTTCTACCGCCAAGCTGTAAAGTGAGCAAGTGACTTGCCACCTTTATACCAGAATGACCTTCAATGCCTCTACCACGAGTTTACTGTGACCGTCGTCTATTAGCTAGCGAGAATTACTTTAAAATTTTGTATGACAAATTATACAGCGCCCCTAGTGACCACAAGAAGAAACAACATTTTGTATACAAATGTTTTACACGGTTGCTAGCGAGTACTGTAGTGGAGAAATGAGCAACCGCTGTCAGTGGGAAATGGTGGTCCCTCGTGTACCTATAAAACAAAACGGGAGCTGGGAGCGGGATTCCCGCAATGGCTTGGCACTTAAGCGTGAAACACACTGACAGCGGGTGCAGGTCGGGCACGTGACGCGTCGGGTACACGGCGGGTATAATTCCGTGCAAGAACGGGCGCGGGACCCGACCTGCGCCGGATCCGCGCCCTCGCGTGGTGTGTTGTCGTCCATATAAACACACGGAACTCCCCTCTTCCCCTAATCTCATGGTAAAGGTACAGATTATTGGTAGGTGTGTCGTTTACCATGAGTCGCACGACTTATTCATCCTGTTACTTGATACCATAAAAAAGCAATAGGGATGTGGCTATAACTTGCTTAAGCTTTTGTGGTCTGCACGTGAAATATAATATATTAAGATCCATAGTAATTACGACGTACATTTTTTAATCGAGTTTGAAAGGCGAACATTCTTTACTAACCATCATTGTCATAATATTATGATTATTAGTGACCTAATATATGAGGCCATGAGAACCATAGTGGCCTAATTCAATGGACAAGCCATAGTGGCCTATCTTACTTAGGCCAGTATGGCACCTCAAATTTAGATCACAGACTAAAAACCATAACAATGATTATGCTGCCATCTAGTGAAAATTCGTTGTATCACTTTTAGGCCTTTCTGATTCTGTCAAAATGATCAATTTGAACTGGAAAAAATCATAAACTCAATATTGTAAAAAAATTAGTTGGCCACTATGGTTCTCATGGCCTCATATATGAGTACAGCTAAAAATACGTTCCCCTTAAAAAAATAGGATCGCTCTCTTGTTACGTCATACGTCATATTTTCCATACTTCAATTCCGGTTTCTATTTTCACTCCTTCAGTTCATGTGGTCAGATTTTGGAACATACTCCCTATTTATTGTTCGTGAAATAAATTTCAAAATGAGACATTACTTTTGACGGCCTCCGTAGTCGAGTGGCTTGCATACCTGTTTTCATGGTATCGCCATCTCTGACGTACCGGGTTCGATCCCCGGCCGGGTCAGTGTAGAAACTAACTTTTCTATATTGTTTCGGGTCTAGGTGTTTGTGGTACCGTCGTTGTTTCCGATTTCCACAACACAAGTGCGTTAGCTATTTACTTAATATAATACAGTCAATTATTTATCCACTAATCCGTTCATATCTTAAGTATTATATTGTGAAAAACGTGCATATGTAAGTATATAATGATTTAATGTTATTTTTATTTTGTTGTGCCCGTTCTTTTATTTATTATCTCCTTTATTTAGTTCTGCAGGAAGAAATTTGTTTTATGAATAAGCATAACCTTTTGTCTGTGTTTTCCTTTTATTAAATGTGATTTCGGGTGCAATAAACTATTTCTTTTTTAAGTTTTTAAGTTCAATGTCGCGGTGTTTGACCACAATGATATGCAATGTGAAATTACTTCACTAAACTAGTGGAGTAATTTAAAAAAAAAAACCTTGAATCCGGCTGGATTCGGTCTTATTTGGCATAGCCTCTGACACGGTTTGCTGGAAGTCGCTGGTTCGAATCCGGATCGAGGGAACTTTTATTTTCGAACTTAGATTTTCAATTAAATTAAATAACTTAATAAAAACCTAAGCTTAACAAATAGACGACATATAAAGCTCTATAAGCAGCAGTCAGCATTGGCAGATTTGATTACGTTTGACTACCGGATATTAACGGATGTAGGTACATTTTTTTAACGTAACACCTCTATTTGCTGCAGCGCGCTCGACCGTTGCACATTGCAACGTATTGCGTTGCAATTGATGCGCGCGCGTATTCATTATTTTAAGTTTTTTAACTTAATTAAGCTTAATTATTACGTGGTTTGTACAAAGCGTAATTATTTAATTGTTACGTATTTCGCAAACTCATAGATATGATGTCAAATAACAAGTAAGAACACATAAAAGCTTTACTAGCCTATAGAGCTCCTTGCAAAAGAGTTCGTTCAAAGAACTACAGCACCTGTTTCCCACTGCGTTCCGGTGCTGGTGGAATTACAGGCACATGGGACTTTTCAACTCATGTCTCAGGTTGACGGGCGCAGTGGCTCTCAGGTTTTTAACAGCAGTAGAGCTCTTTGTGACCTTACATATTTCTGCCACTAAACAGTAATGTTAGCATTGCTGTGTTCCGTTCTTGAAAGGTAAGGGTGCTGGTGAAATTACAGGCACACGGGACTTGTCAACTTATGTCTCAGAGTGACGGGCGCAGTGGCAGTGTTCTGAGTAGAACTGCCACTGCTATGGACAGGTTTGTCTCTCACCACCATTGACTTACAATTATATGGACGTCGGGTCCGCGCTAAAAAGTGTCCGAA